ATCTACTCTGAAAATTAAATGTGGCTCTTGTTATTTTTCTATTAGACAAAGCTGGCAGGGACCTCTAGCTCTTTGAGCATCACTTCCTGCCTCAAGTGCAGATCCTTCAGCCTGCTAGTGTTGTACACAGTTGACATGTTTCTACCCTAACTATATCTTGTAACAGGCCCCATCTGGGGCAAGTTCTGGGCTAAAAACTGAACCTTCTAGTCATAAGCAGCTTGCAGCTGTGTTATTGCTGTAAAGGACTGTGGTTAACTCTGTTTCGGGGCTGGTTGGACACCTCCCTGTGTGGAGTGCACCTGGCCAGCCCCCGGACCGGTTAATAAAGGCTCACTAAATTCTAATCTATTCTGGTCTCAGTCTGTTTGATTTGAACCCAGTACGCAAGCCATTACGAAGATCAAATATTGCAACAAGCCAGGCATGGTGATGCATGCCTATAATCCAAGCACTCAGGAGGCTAAGGCAGGAGGATCACTGGGAGTTTGAGCCAGTTTGAGCTACATAGTGAGTTCAAAGCCAACTTGTAGTGTGCAGTGAAATTGAAGACTTGACTATGATATCCACTAAAACCACAGAAACAAGTAATAATTTTTATCTAAAAAAGATGGCAGGGGCTGGTGAGATGGCTCAGTGGTCTAAAGCACCTACTTGGAACAAGCTAAGTTATGCAAAGCACAGGGACCATGGTTCAATCCCCAGCACCACATGCCAGCCAGCCCCGCCCCCTGGTGGGCTGAGCTGGCCACACACACACACACACACACACACACACACACACACACACACACACGCACACACACAAAAAATAAATAAATAAATGTTAAAAAAATAAAATAAAAAAGATGGCAGAAGTTTCAGACAATAGGATTGCTTACAATAATGCTGAAGTTCACAAACAAAATGAATTTTTTTTTTTACTGGTATTCAATGAAAAATAATACAGATCAATTTCCCAATCTCAGCATAATACAGCACATGCATTGGAAAACAAAACCTATAATTGCATTCTTCATGTTGTAAAATGTGAAGGTACAGAGAGAGAACCTTTAATAGAAGAAAAATTAAATGCTGTCATACAGTGTGATATACTGAAAATGTACGTGTGGAAAGGATGTGTCTTGTCTTTGAAGTATTGAAAGGTACACTGAAAATATTAAGGCAGATGCCACTGGAGGGCAGAAAATTCTTAAGAACAAGTAGTTCTTTGAGATCAGTCTCAGTCTAGGATGTTACATTTCATTTGACAAGCAATAGATGTTCAGAATTTCCTATTATAATAAGGAATGAAGTATTCAGAGTGAATACGTGTGGCTGTTTGTAAGATATTTTAGTATTTATACACTTAATTTTTATATGGGCATGTTTTTGCAACAATCTTTAAAATTTTATTGTGTTAAAGTGAAACTCATTACAAAAACTTGTATAAAATGTTTATTAATGACAAATAGGTACAAAATCCACTCATTCTTCTTAGGTAGTCCAACTAGCCCTCTGAAGTACAATCACTGAATCCTCAGTGGTATGAAAGCTGAAGGTTGTTCTTGGTTCAAAGGTCAAAATTCATCTGACTAGCAGGAGTAAGAACAGAAGATTAATCAAACAAATATTGTCACATACAACAGTACCTGAGAGTGACTGACACATTTGAACAAGTAAGTCCTATTCACAAGTTAGCTGGTTTAGTGGTGCTTTGGTAGATCCTTTAAAAATAACTTCACATTAGCTAAGTCAGAATCAACCTCAGTACCCTTCAAATGACAAGTGGCTAAAGAAAATGTGGTACAAAGGTCGGCCAGGTAGCTCAGCGGATTAAAGCGCCTGCTTAGGCAGATGCAGGGATCATTGCCAGCCCTGCCCCCAGGGCACACTGAGACTGTGATTGAGACTGGGCTTGGTGGCATGCACCTGTAATCCCAGTGCTTGGGAGGTTGAAAAACAGGAGGGTCACTACGAGTCCAATCCGTGTAGTGAGACCTTGTAGACCCTGTACTAAATACAAAAAATAAATAAATAAAATGATAAATAAAATAAAATAAAATAAAAAAGAAAATGCGGTACATATACATGGTGGAGCACTATTTATTCATGAAGAGGCTATACTGTCATTAATAACAACACAGGTGAACCTGGAAGAGGTTAAGTGAAATGAGCCATGCACACAAATACTGCTTGTTCAAAAAAAAATTAAGCATTAATTGTTCCTTTCAATAAACCAATAGAAACTAGCAGTACAATTTCCTTAGCTCTCATCTCTATAGCTATATCATCTATATATCGATATCTATATCTATATTTCCCTTTCTTCTTTTTCTCCTTTCTCTCATCCCAGATATTCTTTCCTTTTGAGCAGTTTCTTTCCCTTTCATAATATCTCTTTTACCTTCCAGATTTTATTTACTTTCAGGTTCTTACACTAGGGACACAATACGATGTTTACACATGTAGGTTTAATTTATTTCACTTATGAGTATGGTTTCTAGCTGCATTCATTTACTTACAAAAGCCCTGGGTTTATCTATCTGCATGCTTATGTCTGGTCATCTGAACAACTACTTTGAAGATAACGATATGCACTATAACACCCACTGTTGAATCAATATCATCCAATTTTCCAAAATTCTGTATTATGTCTCATGTTTATTATTTTTTACTCTTTAAAATACAAAAATGCCTCTTATTCTCCTTCATAATGCGGAAAGTAATGAAACAAAACTAACCTGATGTTAGAACAGCAAACACTGGAGATTTACTAGGCTATGACTTATAGTTGGGGAAGGAGATATGTAGCGTAAGTGAAGCTCTCTGGTAGTGTTGGGTTTTTATAAAGACATTAAGGACTGGCATTACTACTACAGTGATTTTCACCTGAAACATTATCATGCCTGTACCTCAAATATTTTTAAAAGTTTTAAACTCGGTGGTATCACGGAACACGTAGCATTCAAGGACAATAACCAACTATACAAAATCAGGAAACATTAGGCAAATATACTGCTTATCAATGAAAATGAAGTCATGTCTTCTCTCCATCTCTACTTTCCACTGTTGCCTACTGCTCTCTGAAACAGAGAAAATCTCACCCACTTCCATAGTGATAATTCTCCCAGAATCAAAGGAGAAGCTGAATTAAGTAAAGCAAACTAAGAACTGAGCAACTTTTACTTTTCTTTTATTAATTTTTTTTTTTTTTTTTTTTTTTTTGCATTTAGTACAGGGGATACAGGGTCTACAGGGTCTCACCACATAGATCAGACTTATAGTGGTCCTCCTGTTTTACAGCCTCCCAAGTGCTGGGATTACAGATGCATGCCACCACACCCAGTCTCAATCGCTGTCTCAGTGTGCCCCATGGGTGGGGCTGGCATGGCACACCAGGATCGAACCCTGGCCACTTGTGCTCTGCCTAAGCAGGCGCTTTTAGTCTGCCGAGCTATCAGGCCAGGCCAGCCCTGCAAGATTTACTTTTCTCCATCAACTTTTATTAACCAATGCACACTAGAGAAGCAGATTAATATAAGATGAATAAATGTATCAGGATTTACAAGGTAGGCTTACAGTGGCCACCTGGAGTCAGGTACAAGAGTGCAAAACAGTCATCTTCATGCTGGAGAGCCAGAGAATTCAGAATTAGAAAGCCTGGAGGTCCCTGTAGAGTCCTGTGGGGGTCTATAGCAGGCCGTGAGTCTGCTATGGAAGACTGAAGGATCTGTGCTAGAAGAAAGGTGATAGTAAACATGAACGAGAAGACTGGAGCTCCTCAGAAGAAAGAGAAGTGAGCTTTCTGGGGCCGGGGAGATGGCTCAGTGGGATAAGTGCTTGCCTGGCAAGCACAAGGGCCTGAGTTCAATCCCTGGTTCCACAAAAAAAAAAAAAGAAAAGAAAAGAAAAGAAAAAAGAGAGAAAAAGAAAAAGAAAAGAAAAGAGTAAGCTTCCTTTCCCTTCCCTTCTTATTCCATTCAGACTGGGTCTTCTGTCTTCAGTGAATCCATTCAGCCACACCCAGACTCGTGTTGATCCAATCAGTAGGGCGTTTCCTATACCAGTTGATGCAACAGTTAACCATCACAACAGTTAGCAGTTAAAATATCCCAAATATTTTACTATGGATATTTCACATTTTCAAGGATATTGCTGACTCGGTGGTATGTTATCATGGTGTGGATCATCAAAGTGATTTCAGGAATTCCAATTTTTGTTTCAAAACAAACCAATATCTTATCACTAAACCTGGTAAGCACTGATGAATGTGTGGTCCATAACATGCATGTAGTTACACTTTAGGGGCCGGGGAGATGGCTCAGTGGAATAAGCACTTCCCTGGCAAGCACAAGGGCCTGAGTTCAATCCCTGGTCCTGAAAAAAATAAATTACACTATAACCCTAAATACACATTCTGTGGAAAAGAAGGTCCTTGAGTGATATGAGCAACATTTTCAAATGTTCGTCACACATAACAAGAACAAAGATTAGCAGGCATTTTAAAGAATAAAATGATGCTTCTGCCTCATGTATCACTAGGTGTAGAGGGGCTGGCTTGGACTGGATGGAGCCTTGGCTCCAGGCCTGGCTGCAACTTTGACTTAGACTGTCTCTTTCTCATCTCCCAAAGCCTCTTCAAAACAGCATGGATAGTCACTGGCCTCAGAACAGGTGATCTTGGCCAAGAACTCCAGGACTTTCTTCTTGCTGGTTTGGGTGTGGGCTCTGGCAGCCCACAGGAATTGATGGCGTGGAGGATCACTGCCAGGAACCTGGCGGTACTCCATGCACTTTTCCTGAACAAGAGCTTTAGTGATGAGCTTCCTGACAGCTCCACAGATGAAGTGCTGTTCAGTGGTGTGGATCACTTTGATGATCCACACCAAGATAACATACCACTGAGTTGGAAATATCCTTGGAAATGTGAAATACCCATAGTAAAATATTTGGGATATTTAACTGCTAACTGTTGTGATGGTTAACTGTTGAATCAACTGGTATAGGAAACACCCTACTGATTGGATCAACATAAGTCTGGTTGTGGCTGAATGGATTCACTGAAGACAGAAGTGATCCTAGACATGTCAGGAATTCCCGGATGTCTTTCTCAGCAGCAGAGTAGCCAGCCAAGAAGATGATGATGAGGAGAGACATTATAAGCCCAGTTTTGGGAACGTGATCACTCAGGTTCTTATCCCTAGGAAGATTCAGCGTGGTTGTCAGAGTGTAGGAACAACCACTTGGCTTAAGTTCCTTCAACTCCAGACCCAAGACCCGCTCCCATGTGCCCAAAGGCTCTCTGAACCTTTTGTGGACAATCTTTAGCATCTCCCCCTTCAGAATGGGCTCCTTCATTTTATATTTGTACACGATGCACTTCATCACCATTTCTGCCTTTTCACCATGTTAGGATTTGTGTGCATTTTCCCCCCAACGCCTCACGAAGTCATTGAGGCGCAGTTCTACAGTCTGTGATTTATTCATGATCCAAGGCTGGGATTATGGGTCTGAGTACTGCTGGGATTGTGAGTGTGAATGCTACACCCAACCTGGGGCAGACAGCCTGAATGTAACATAAGAGAAACGAGAGACAGACTTCCTCTCTCTGTTGCCACTGTTGCTGCTGCTCCTCCCATTTGCTCTTGCCGTTTTGCTGCCTCTGCTACCATGAACTGCTGCCTCTGCCATGCACCAGTCTCCCTTGGAGCCAGCTGAGTATGACTGAAACCTCCAGTAACTATGAGCTTCCTTCATTTTGGGTGTTGGGTATTTGTCCCAGCAATGAGAAAGAGTAACAGACACACCAGAAGCTTTTCTCTTGAGCCCTCAGCAGAGGTTGACATTGGAGACAGCTGCCCTTTCTCTTTTCTGCCCTTTTCCTTTTTTTTTTCAAAGTTTTATTGATAAACAGATAGCAATGAGACAGTTTCAAATCAAATCGGAAGTATAGTTTCAACAAATAATA